TCTCCTGTCTTAGCCTTTCGAGTAGCTGGGATTACAGGTGCACGCCACCATGCCCAGCAAATTTTTTTTTTTTTTTTTTAAGTAGAGATGGGGTTTCACCATGTTGACCAGGATGGTCTCAATCTCCTGACCTCGTGATCCACCTGCCTCGGCCTTCAAAGTGCTGGGATTACAGGTGTGAGCCACTGTGCCCAGCCCCATTAGAAGTTTCTAAACAGAGGAGTAACAAGATAAGATCTGCATTTTAGAAAGACAATTCCCAAAAGCTAGGACTGTGTGAACAACTGGCCTACTGGATCGTCCTATCTCAAAGTGAAGCTGAGGATTCAGCTTCTAAGCCAGCTCTTAATCACACCACATTCAGCTCCACAGTTGATCCAGAGCTGCAGAGCTGCCCTAGCTGGCTGCCTATGAGACATGGAAGGAAAGAGAATTGGAGCAACTATCAGGTTAATAAACTCTGTGGAGAGAGCCAAACCAAATTTCCAAGGCCCCATGATCAGTTTGTCTAAATGCAGCACAACAATGTAATGCTGATAGGCCTGACTTCCTTTAGTGTTAATGGACATTACAGACCTTCCCTACCTTCTGGACTGAGGGCTTGTCTGTCTTGTTTACCACTGTATCTCTAGTACCAACAGAGGGCCTGCCAATGGTATATGTTAATAAATCTATGATATGAATGACCAATTACTTGTCCTGGAGTTCTGGGTACCCCAAACTTTTCATTATTAATTAAAGAAGTAGGCCGGGCATGGTGGCTCACACTTGTAATCCCAGCATTTTGGGAGGCCGAGGCAGGTGGATTATGAGGTCAAGAGATTGAGACCATCCTGCCCAACATGGTGAAACCCCATCTCTATTAAAAATATAAAAAATTAGCTGGGCGTGATGGAGCACCTGTAGTCCCAGCTACTCAGGAGGCTGAGGCAGGAGAATCACTTGAACTCGGAAGGCGGAGGTTGCAGTGAGCTGAGATCACACCACTGCACTCCAGCTTGTGACAGAGCGAGACTCCATCTCAAAAAAAAAAAAAAAAAAAAAAAGAAGTAATTCCTATTGTTATCAGTGCCCTTCTCTCCACTCCACCACACACACAAACATGTATTTCCCTGCTTCTCCCACTTATCCATTTGAGGTCTGTCTTTTCACCACAGAGGAGTGCATTAAAGATAATAGTAATAATGGCTAGTAGTCACTGAATGTCTACCAGTGCCAGGCATTGTTCTAAGCCTTTCGTGTATTAACTAAGGTCTTACAACGTTTGGATGAGGAGATACTGTTATCATTCCCACTTTATAGATCAGGAAACTGAGCTATGAAGAAGTCAAATAACTTGCTCAAGGTCACATGGCTGTTAAGTAGTAAACCCTTATCCTCTTAATTAGTGCATTGAGACATTAATATACATGCAAATCAGCTGAAGCCTTGTTAAAGTGCACAGCATGATTCAGTGACTATATGGTGAGGTCCGAAATTCTGCATGTGTAGTAAGCCCCCAGGTGATGCCAATGCTGTTGTCCATGAGCACATCTTGCGCAGTGAGGCTCTGTAGCGTGTTTCCTACCTGTCTATACCATTTTCTGACTCCCGATGTCATGAGCTATCAGAGTTATTTCCTAACTTGATATGACATTTGTTTAAAAGAAGAAACCGAAACCTATGGTCAGTTTCCTTCTGGGAGAAAAAAAGGAGTTCCAACTGGCCCGATTGTTTTGAGTGTCTTTGAGATCCTTGTGCAAAGAACTGATCCTAAGCAAAGGGAGGGCAACTCTAGACTCACTGGGTATGAGCCCAGCTCACACCACAGGTTCTGATCATGTCTACTGGTTGACGGCCACTGAAGGAGCCTCCTCTATTTTTATTCCATTGAGGCCACTAATTGAATTAGCCCTAGGTATTTAGGGTGAAAGTGTCCATGCTTCAAGGCTTCAGCTGTAGACTATTGATTAACTGTGCCTCTGGAATTCCCAAGCTCAAATGTCTAGAAACTTTGCTTCTTCTAAATGCAAAGATAACAAGAGAAGGTGGGAAGACATATGAGGGCAAACCTCCATGAAAAGAGTAGATTAATAGATTGATTAACAAGTATTTTTGAGGCCCTGATATTAAAGTGAAATGATTTTATCTTAACCCTCAGGTCTCAGGTGAGCTGCAGGAATAATGGAATCAACTCTCATTCAATGTCTTTTCCTAATCAAGAATGACTTCTCCTTTATTCCCTAGCAAGATATACTTATGAGACATTATTTCTAAGACAATTCTGAAGGCAGACACACATTTTTGGAACGTTTTAAAAAAGGCTACATTAAAAAGTCTGAAATAAATAATTTTCATTTTTTAAAAACAGACTTGTCAAGAGCTATGTCACAGCCCTCCCACGTTAGCCCATAAAACTTGGAGTTGACCATAGCCATTCTGATGGGAAGCTGAATCTCTAAGGTCCATTCTCACATTAAGATTCTCTGATTCCATTTCAATCAGGTCTAGGGCTCTGATACTCAAATGAAGCTGTTAGGACCCCTGGGGGCAATTATAGCTCCTAGACAGCTTGGGTTTTCTCTTGGAAAAACCTTAGGCAGTTCATCTCTTGGAGAGAAGGAACTCCCAGTGGGCAAAGCACAGAGCTTGGTGTCATGGGGTTTCTCTCCTCCTTCCCATTTCTTCTTGTTCCATGGCTATTGTTACAGTCCAGAGCAGGGTCATTACCTGCCCAGCTAGCACCAGCCACCTGAGTGAATGTTTAACCTTCAGACCCGTCCTCATTTCTCCCATTGCAGTTAAAAACAAAACGACTAGGTTTTTAATTTTAAGGTATGTATTATGAATAACACATTGGTCTAGTTGCTATGGAATATACAAAAATGAATGAGACGTAATTTTTTTTTAAGACAGGGAGAATGGCATGTGAAGATGAAAGCAAGGGCTCAGGTAATGCATCTACAAGCCGAGGAACACAAAGATTGCCAGCAGAGCACCAGAAGCTAGGGGAGAGGCATGGGATGGGTTTTCCCTCACGGCCCTCGGAAGGAATCAACCCTCCTGATCCCCGTGATTTTGGACTTCCAGCCTCCAGAATGGAGAGACAGTAAATTTCTGTCATTTAAGCCACTTAATTTGTGGTACTTTGTTACAGTAGTTCTAGCAGATTAGTAAAGATGCTAACAGTATAAAGGCAAAAAGAACAAAAAAAGAATAGCCTAGTAGAGTAATAGGTTATGAACTGGGATATACACTATGAGGTACAGATAAAGTCCTATGGGGATTCAAAGAAGCAAGAACAAGTAAAATAATGTATAAGAAAGAAATTTTTTAAAGCTGTAAATACTCTGTAACTATACATTTTTAACTTCTTCAAGCAAGGGAAAGAGAAGAAGATTGGGAATCAGGAGTCCAGATGCTAGCTAGACCAGGGGTTGGCAAACTAAAGCCCAACATTGTGTTTTTTTTTTTTTTTTTTTTTTGAGACGGAGTTTCACTCATGTTACCCAGGCTGGAGTGCAATGGCGCGATCTCGGCTCACCGCAACCTCCGCCTCCTGGGTTCAGGCAATTCTCCTGCCTCAGCCTTCCACGTAGCTGAGATTACAGGCACGCACCACCATGCCCAGCTAATGTTTTGTATTTTTAGTAGAGACGGGGTTTCACCATGTTGACCAGGATGGTCTCGATCTCTTGACCTCGTGATCCACCCGCCTCGGCCTCCCAAAGTGCTGGGATTACAGGCTTGAGCCACCGCGCCCGGCCTCCAACATTGTTTTTATACAACCTTCAAGCTAAGAATAGTTGTAGCATTTAAAAAAGGGTTGTATTAAACAATAACAGCAACAACAAAGATAAACAGAGACTGAATGCTGCTTGCAAAGCCTAAAATCCTTACCGTCTGATCCTTCACAAAGAAAGTTTGCCAACCTCCTGGTCTAGACAAGATTTTGCTGTAACTGTGTGACTACTGACAAATCTAGCTGGAGAATTGGACCTTATCCAGCAAGTAAAGCGTTCATCAAGTGGATAAGATGGCTAGATCTGTTGGTAGTAGGAGAATGAATTGGAGTGGAAATACTACAGAGAAATGTTTAGGAGGAAATTTAAATTTCTAATCTAGAAAGAGATATAGATTTGGGAATCATTAGCACATATTCAGGCCTTGAAAATGGAATGGATAAAAGCGCCCAAGGAGAAAACCAGTGGAAACTTGGGTATGGCCACTTTAAGGGAAGGAGAATAGAACAAGAGAAAAAGTGATCCAGGAAGTAGGAGAACAAGAGATGAACAGCAACACAGAGTAGGTTGTCAACAACATTAAATGCTAAAGAGAGGGAAAGTGGAATGAAGAATGAAAAGAAGCCTCGAATATGTCACTGGTGACCTTGTGACAACAGTTTCAGGACAGCGGTAGAGTTGGGAGTAGGGACAGATAGTGCATTTGAGGATATTGATAGTCAAGGGAAGAATGGAGACCAGTTCATAGGCTGAGTGGAAGCAGAGTCAACCGAGGCAGAAAGTGTCCATTTTGCTTACCATGCAGGGTACCTGAGTTTCCAATTAAATAATGAATGTTAAAGTGTTTTGCAAACTATAAAGTACTATGCTAATAAAAGGCATGGTGTTGTTATAAAGTAATTCTAAATTCTGTGATCATATGAAACCGTGATTGTTTTCTTCCTCAAGTTTACAACTTAAAATCAAAGCATTTCTATTGCCCATCAAGTCTACACTGTCCATTCTGGAAGACCTTTCTAGCCCCTGACTATGGCCAACTTCATCTTTCAATATTTTTTTTTTTTTTTGAGACAGTCTGGCTCTGTTGCCCAGGCTGGAGTGCAGTGGTGCAATCTTGGCTCACTGCAACCTCTGCCTCCTGGGTTCAAGTGATTCTCCTGCCTCAGCCTCCCAAGTAACTGGATTTACAGGCATGTGCCCCCATGCCCAGCTAATTTTTGTGCTTTTAGTAGAGACCGGGTTTCACCATGTTGGCCAGGCTGGTCTCGAACTCCTGACCTCAAGTGATCTGCCCGTCTCGGCCTCCCAAAATGCTGGATTACAGGCATGACCCACCCCGCCCGGCCCATCTTCTGGTGTTTCAACTTCCCACTCTGGAACTATCTGCACCAACCAGGTGAACATACATTTCATCCTCCCCACAAGCCTTGTTTTCCTGTTCTTTTGAGCTTTTACCCAGGCCATTTGCCTTGCTTTAAGGCTTAAGAGTTGCTTGCTTTAAGAGCTACAGATTTAGGAAATAAGAATACAGGATGCTAGTTAAATTTGAATTTCATATAAAGAAGTGTTAGTATACGTTCCATGAAATATTTGGACATGGGTGTCCTGTATTTTATTTGGCAAACCATACTTCCCCTCCTCTCTTAGTTTATCCATATGTGTCTCTTTCTTTGTAACTCAACTCAAAGCTCATCTGCTCCTTGACATGATGATTTAATAAAATAATATAGCTTTTTGTCAACAAAAAGACCTAGAGTCAAACCCTGGCCCTCTACTTACATGCGTGCGGTCTTGATTAAATCTTTTAGTTTCTTTGAATCTGTAAATTACCTTTCAAGGCTCCTATTAGGTTTGAATTAAACATTTGGTTTATTTGCTTAAGACTTACATTGTTTTTGGTTTTGAGACAGGGTCTGGCTCTGTTGCCCGGGTTGGAGTGCAGTGGTACGATCTCCTGCAGCCTTGACTTGAGGATCAAGCGATCCTCTCACCTCAACGCTCTGAGGAGCTGAGAAAACATGCATGTGCCACCACATCCAGCTAATTTTATAACTTTCTGGGCCTGGTGCCTATAATCCCAGCACTTTGGGAGGCTGAGGCAGGCGGATCACGAGGTCAAGAACTTGAGACCAGCCTGACCAACATGGTGAAACCTCATCTCTACTCAAAATACAAAACTTAGCTGGGTGTGGTGGCAGGTACCTGTAATCCCAGCTACTTAGGAGGCTGAGACAGGAGAATCGCTTGAACCCAGGAAGCAGAGATTGTGGTGAGCCGAGATTGCACCACTGCACTCCAGCCTGGGCCACAAAGCGAGACTCCATCTTAAAAAAAAGAAACAAAAAACAAACTTTTTGTAGAGATAAGGTCTCCCTATGTTGCCTAGGCTGGTCTTGAATTTCTAGATTCAAGTGATCCCAAAGTACTGGGATTAAAGGCGGAAGCCTCCACACCTGGCTCAACTTACATGTTTATTTAACTCTTCCCTATCCAACAGATAATTTATTTGCTCTGGGTGTCCTCTCTGCTTAGACGCTCAGTTTGTACTTCTTCATTTGTATCGCTGCTTAGAGTCCTGAGGAGTGGGTTTTGACTTTCCCATCAACCATAATATGATCTATCTGAGTCATTCCTTCTAGCATCTAAGGCTGGCATTTACTCACAGGGAGCTTCAGGATAGCGATGGACTGATGAGCTCCATTCCCTTCTCTCAGAATCACTGGAGGGTTGTATTCCATAAGGGCCTCAAAAGCAGGTGTTCCAGCCCACGTATTCTCACCACTGCTGTGCTAGCCATGCATGGGTTTTCTGAGTGGGTTGATGGTGAAAAGGTGTGGTAAGCCCTTTGGGGTGAGGGGTGGGGAATGGAGGGAAGCTGGAGTAATCACCATGATTAATGTTCTTCTCTGTGACTCAGATTAATTATAAATACTGAAATTCATAAGAGAGAATTATAGTGATGGGATATAGGTAGGAAGGTGAAGGCTTCTAGTGGATTTTCTTTTGAACTCCCGAATGCCCAGCCAGAGGACATAACTTTATTTGCCCAGTTGGGCTTCCGTGCCTGCTCCAAATACTCCTAAGTGGCAGGAGGGAAGTAGAATCTGATGCCCTGTTTCCTGAAGCTGACATGGAACCATCCTTACTGTAATACCAATTCGCTTCCTCTCCCCCAGCTGCTGGGGATATGGGTAAGCAGCAGTTATCTACATCTCCCAGCTCTGATTTTTATCTCAAGCCCAGTAAAAAAAAAAAAAAAAAAAAAAAAAAAAAAAAAAAACAAAAAAAAAAAAAAAAAAAAAAAAAAAAAAAAAGAAAACACCCTACACCTGACCAAACTCAGTAATAGAAAGTGGTTTTCTTTTTCCCCTTTCCCTTCCCTGGTTCCCTGGAGCTTATTTCACTGGAAGGGAACGCAGGTTGATGTATTTTTAAATGGCTTTGATTTTATCACCTTGCTTAATGATTTGGCACGTTATTTATTAGATGGGGAGCTTCCCAGAGGGGCCTGGCCCATTAACGTATAAATAATGTGGCAAATAGTTCAATAGAGCCATAAAAAAAGTGATTTAGAAATAAATTGACCTCTGTTTGTTACATGTAAACGAAGGCCCAGGGTCATAATGTATTTCGTGCCCTTAAGCTGGGATGGTGGGATTGGGGTGGAGAGGGATGAGCAGGGGGCTAGTGCAGACACTGGGGGGATTTTTCATCACAGTCCTTTTTTCTCTATCATGGTTGAGGGCGTGGCAGGTGTGATTTGTGCTGTGTGGGGTGTGTGTGTAGCTGGGTGAATACACTTATGGTCTGGGGCAGCCATGTGGTTGGTAAAAATGGAGCAGGGTTTGGGGTGGGAGTTTCCTTCTGGATGGAAATCCTGGTTTAGGATTTTGTCATTTTTGAGAAGTTAACGTTTAACCCAGGTATACAGGAAGAGATAGTTTGGATGGCTCCTTGTGTCTAAGGAGAAGCAGGAGCCGTCTTGGTACATTCAGATCACTGTAATGAGTTCCTCTGAAGCAAACGCTGTCCAGTTCATCTCCTTCTAGCATAGTGTATAGCACATTGTGGGGCATCAGTAGATGTCGATTAGAAATAAGAAACACATGTCCACATACATACCACGATTGGTGGAGGGAAGGAATGGTACCGATACTTTCTGAACGAGTGGTGAATGAATGATAGATATAATAGGTAACATTTACTGAGATCATAGTATGTAGTAGGCATTTTGTTACGCACTTTACATCGATAACCTAATTAAATGCTTTATATGTTTAGATTATGAAATATGTAATTCAGCAACCTGCTAGAAGTTATATAACTGGTAAGTGGCAGAGCCAGTATTTGAACTTCAGCCTGACTCCATAAACCCAGTTTTAATCTTAATATTTACACTTTGTCTTGATAATGAATACTTGATAGATTTTAGATAAATTATATAACAAAATTTAAGTACATTTAATTCTGTTAAATAATTGTTTAAAAATTGAATAGGCTGTCCTTCTTTATGCTTACTGCCATCTTGTGCCGGGGGGAAGTGGCTTGATTCGTGCTGTTGGTGGGAGAAAACCGCTTAAGGATAAAATATTTGTGGGAAGGTACCTAACATGGAGTTGATTGTAAGATTTCCAAAAGGAGTTTCTGCGATGATCCAGAGCCCCCTCTCCATAGGCAGGTGAAAGATCTGTAAACAGCTCCAGAGAAGAGACTCCACCCAGGAGCCAGAAAGTCCTTTTTTCAGGCTACCTTAATTCCTGATGCTGTTTTAACTCATTCCCTCTAGTTCATTCTTCCAAAGACAACCCTTAATACATGATCAAAGGCCCCCTTTCTGGTTTCAGGGTATCTTGTTGGCTGGGCAGAGTTTCCAATAGAGTCAGGGCTTTAGAGTGTCTTTCATCCCAAGAGCTCAAAGCCTCCCACGGACATTAACCCATTAATCACCAAGCTGCTCTTGAAGTTGAGAACCAGTGAGTGGGAGCATCCCCCGCTTCCCAGGTAGAGAAACTGAGTCTGTGACTTGTCCAGAACTGCCCAAGGAGTCAGGGTGGAGCCAGGCAAGGAACCTAGGTGTCCAGGGAGATTACGTCCTCTATTGCCAGTGATTCAGGGCTCCAGTTTTCTGCGACTCAGCAGAAAAAATAACTCACTGGGGAATGGTGAAAGTTGAGGCTAGTGGTATAGGAGATCAGGATTCTTTTGGGATTGCTGGGGAAAATAGCCTTGCTCAAGGAGATGTGTATTCCTCAAGACCAGGGCTAGGGGTCATTCCTTTTCATATCCTCAGTTCCTAGACTGTGCTTGGTACATAGAAGGCCCTTAATAACTGTTTGCTGAATTAATGTGTGAATGAATGAATCAATGAACAAATGGCAGGTTGCCTGAATTTGTCTTATGGATCTGGGCCTTTTCCCCAGTCCCAACTTTTCCTTCCAACACTAACATCTTTGGGAAGGGGAATGGGGAGGAGAAATTGAACTGCCAGTTGACCTTCTCTGGATGGGATGTGAGCCTGAGGGGAGGAGTGAGAAGAGATGTGTGGGTGGATGGGCCCGGGATGGAAGAGGGTGAGGGCGGAAGGAGTTCCTGAGACTCACCGTCAGTTTTCCTGTGAAGATCTACACATAAATCTAAAATTTATTCCAGGAATTCTGTGAGTTCCTGTCCCTCACTTGCTGAAGTAATCGTCTGGGACAAGCGACGTCACCCGTTGTAGCCTTCATCCGTTCCACTGCAAGCAGCAGAGCTCTGGGTCGTGTGGCCAGATAAGAACATGATTTTTTCTCCATGTGTCCATCATCTTGGTGACATTCGCAATGCACCCCTGTTTTGATGAAGGAGTAACCATGTATCACTTTAAAATGCTCCCAGTGTATACAGAGATCACAAAACCAGAGGTTTTTTAAAAGGCTACAGGAAATCCCTAAGGTCATGGCTTACAAATTCCTGGGTTTGAGTAGAAGACATCTAACTCAGTTATGAGATGAGGTGGAGGAGGACTACCCTGTTTAGAATGTTTATGTATAGGAGACTCTGTGTGTGTATCTCTACATAGGACTATAGATATAAATGCACAGCAGTTTAACTGTTATATGTAAGAATCTTTATGAGGGGATGCACCAGGATTCACTCCTATGGGGAGTGGCTATGGAGGCTGTGGGGAGGTCCACATTTGTGAGGGTCCCCTTGCTTCCTTTGAGCCTGGTGGAGCTTTTCTCCAACTTCAAACCCTCCTTCCCCTCACCCCTCACTTGTTGCTGGGGATGCTCCTAAGTAATCTTGAGGCTGAGGATGCTCACTCCCAACTTTTCTCCCAGCATGTCTTTATTTCTGCCACCCATCTGATCCCATCCCCATCCCTAGGTGGGCTCCCTGCTGCCTGCGTTTATCTCC